TACATACCCACATGCACATACATAATATTTATATACACATACACATACATACATACAGGGCCGGTCCTGCTTGCATGCGATGCATGCAAAAAATGCGGGCGCAAGCCTTAGGAGGCGCCAAAACGAGTTTCGGAAATTAAATTTATAAGACAATATTTATATTTTTTTTAATAAAAATCTATAATTATTTATTTAAAATCTAGAATACTTAATAAATTATAATAAATAATTAACTTAACTAGGGATGCGGAGACCCAAAAAGCATGTTTTATTTTACAATGTGATATCAGTAGAAACAATTACCGATTAACAATTCTGCAAATTAGTAAATAACAGTTCTGTTTATTGCTTAATCTACTTATTGAATTTTTTCTTCGTTTGAAGTTACCGTGGAATCGAAAAAGAAATTATCTAGTGTTCAATCACATAAGCGCAAACCTGCGAAAGATTAAATTAATTGTTGAGCATTATTGACGAAAAATTGCGAGCTGATTTAGTTGAATCGGAACTTGTTAAAAAATATAAACAAATTATAAAAAATGGGGAGTCACTGCTTAGAAAATGACTTGTTTATTCCGAGAAATTGAATTGTAACTTTTGCTTTTGTTGCAAATGTTTTGCATCTGTTGAACTTTGAAGTTGAAGACATGCGTGGAACAAATATGAAAAATGGAAGCAAAATTTACTTTGGAACGAAAATCTTAAGGCTTGTTTTATACATAGTGGTGTCCATACTCTAAATTTAATAATTATTAACTATACAGAAATAATACATATCAAATATAATTAGTTGTTTTTTCAATATTGTTCAAGAAATGTGTAATTTCTTTGCATTTTTACTGTATTCTAAAATACGTTCAAAATTTAACTTTAAAACAACAAGCTGTTACTCTGAATATGACGGCTCTTACGATACCAAAAAGGAGAAGTTTACGACGCAATTTTGGATATTGTAAATGATGAAAAATTAAATTAAATTAAAATTTAAAAAATCCAACATGAAATACGAGTGTTATGTTCGAAAATTAAATGCTAGTTTTTTTTAAATATTAATATTGCACAAACGTTAAAAATAATTGAAAATTTCAAAATACTTGATTATAATCAACCCCCAAATCGCCTCGATTTTCTAAATAAATTTAAAATCAATATATTTTATACGCTTTTAGATTATATCTAATTATTAGTGCACTAAATCCACAATAATTAAAAATTAATTTATTTGTTTCACTTAATATTTTTGTTAAATTAAAGTTATAGAATTTAAGAAATGCATTTCAGAAATAGTATTTATTATTTTGATATCAAGATCTTTGTATCAAAATAAAAAATACTATTTTTGAAATGCATTTCTTAAATTCTATAACTTTAATCTAACAAATATATTAATTCTTTTGCTATGGTAGTCGAACTTACATCCTTAACGAATTTACTGCATATTGAATATTACTAAAATATGAAATTATAACAGGTATTGTTTTATTCATTGATATCGATAATAATAAATAAATTTAAAATTATTATATTTTATACCCTTCTAGATTATATCTAATTTTTGTGTACTAAATCCAGAATAATTAAAAATTAATTTTTAAAAAATACGTAAATATTTATATAATTTTATTGATAAACTGTTAAAACGGTGAAAATTAATAGGGGGGGGGGGGGGCGCTAGAAGAAAAAGTTGCATGCGGGTGCAAAGGAACCCAGGACCGGCCCTGCATACATATATACACAGATATCAATAAAGTGAAACTTAAATTCTAATGCATTGAAATACATTATTAACTAGTGGGGCGCATGGCATCGTGTCTTAAGACAAATTGCTGGAACTTCCCATACCTTAATTAAACACTCGAGAAATGAAAGTAATCAATAATTGTTTTGAATAATTTCAAATAGAATTCATTATAAATACATACTGTAAACTTATAAGTGCTTTTTAAATCAGGCGACGAGCGTATTCTACAAACAACTTATGTATATGTTTAAAATACATTTTTTTTTTTTAAATTTGATTTTTTTGTAAATTTAGAATTTTTTTCAAAATTTTGAAATTTCTTTTAGAAGTTTAAATTTTTTTGGATATTTTTTGTTAAAACGTTTTTTGTAAACTTTTTCGTAAATATTCTCAAATTTTTGTAAGAAACTGTTTTTTTAATTTTGATATTTTTTGAAATTTTTCAAATTACGAAATTATCTGTAAAAGCATTTGTTGCACACCATCTACTCAAGAAAAATGTTTTTGAAATAATTTAATCGGATGATCCGTTCTCCTAAAAACTGAATTACCATTTTTGGCTCTTTTTGCCCCGTATCTTCGAAACGACTAGACCTGCCTATACCTAAAAACTATTCAGCACGTCTCTTTATCAGTACGAATCAAGTGCTTTTTAATTATTCAAATTGGATATTTCATACTGTCGAAAATGTCGAGGCAATTTGTTTGCACCATATACTTGAATTTTAAAATTGAAAATCTTGGTAGGAAACCCAAAAAAATTATTATTACAGTGTACACATTATTAAAATCTCTATAAAACATCTAATAATTTGATGTGCATATGTTTCAATTATTGCAAGTTTCAGCAATTTGCCTTTTAAGGCACGATGCCATACACATCACTAGTTTAACTTATTTTTATTGAGAGTCCACAACCGCTGGGCCTACCTTTCCAAAAATTGGAACAGTTCTTCGCTTGGTCAATATAAACAAAATATTTTTTGAATTTCTTAAATCGAACGCTTCGTTCTCTCAAAAATGAACTTTTGGTTCTTATTGCCCCTATCTTCGAAACGGTTAGACCTGCCTATGCCAAAAACTAATCAGCACGTCTCCTTATCAATACGAATCGAATGTTTTTTGAATTATTCAAATCGGTTGATCCGTGTTCTCGAAATCGTTGACAAAAATTTGTATCCGCACACACACATACATCCATTTATTCTGAGGTATGCCAAAATGTTCAGAAATCTTTGAAACGTAAAAATATATAAAAAATTTCATTTTCGATTTTTTTGCGATTGCTATAACTTGCCCTACGAGATGTTAATAATAGTTATAACTATTATACAGTATAGTTATAACTATAGTGATTATATGCATAAATATGTATAATAAAATCTGTTTTTACAGGAAATGTCCCGAGCCATTACAGTCTTTGCTTACAAATAGAATATTAGAAGAAGTACGACAAACATGTGATAAGCATCCGGCAGAATGTGGTTTTCGAACAAATGAAAATGGTAAACATTCTATATTCTTATTTTTACTATATATCATTATAAATTCAACTTGGTATTTCATATTCATCAGTTTCATAACACTCTTTCGATATACATTCAATAATATGTAGTTAAATTGATCCAGGTAAGTGGTGATATTATGAATTCTAGTAATTATTTTAGTTAACTCCAATCTGTATATTATATGCCTCTGAAGATGAAATGAAATGATGTATATGTTTTGGTTTCATATAAACTACACTTTTTAATTAATTTAAAATAAAATTAATTTAAAATATAATTTAAATTTAAATGATACACAGTATCATTACACTACACTGTTTACTCCGGAACTAGGTTATACCTATGTTTGTTTTTACTATCGTTATTTTAATATAAATCAATAAATTTTATTTCTTTAGCGCTATTTTAATAAAAGTTCTTTTAATTGTACTAAACTAGCGTATGATAGTTATGTAATGTTATGTAATTATGTAATGACTTGCATAGTGTACCAGGCGTTGAAATTAATGCAACTCGTCACTACGACAACAAATGGTATATGTAATCAGTACTTGGATAATACTCTACTGGACTCATTACCTGCACCAGATGCCAATTGTTTTAGAAAGTACTCCTGTACATCAACAAAAAATCTTAGACGAAAGATGGAGGACCGCTATACTGCTGTACTTGATTTAAATACAACATTTGGCGTACCATCTGAGAATGATCAATTATGCAGGTAAAGTGACAGAATTGTCATAGGTTGTAGGGTTCAAAGCATTTTAAATGAAACTTGATAATAGTATTATTTTTTCTACTTTGCATTTTATAAATTTGGTGTTCTTGTGTTTGTTTTCGTAACAACCTTGTCATTACAATAGTTTTAAGGGATTCAACAATCAGTCATTTATATGAATTAAAATTAGAGACCATTTAAATATATCTATGTTAAAATAAATACACAATATTTTTCTTGATAATCTAGTTTTAGATGCAATGTTTTTATTCACATAGGTAGATATATGCAACATACATAAAATTTTAACATTATTATTTTAACAATTTTGATCAATATGTTTTTGTTGCAATACTGAACTACGTAGCAGGAAGTATATCAGGTCATAATCGATTTTTTGTTGCTATGTTGGCAACACTGTTTTATTTTGTATTATATTTATACTGTTTTTTATTTCTAATTCTTATCTAATGTTACTAATGCCTAACATATGATCATTGTTCGAAGTATATAGCATATTTCCGTTTGTTTTCGAAAGTAACTCACGCAATTCTTATTGTTTTACCTTATTTCTAACTAATCTTCTAACTAATGTATGTTTGTGTGAGTATTTAGAGTAGCAATAACAAAATCATATCTATTATTTTCATAGTATTTTGTACTTCATTAGTAATCGTATTACCACTGTTTTTGATAATTGACATCGAACTTTTAAACGTTATGTCCAACAAGTTTATCATTGCATTGGACATGTCAATACAACAAAAAGAAAAACCAATAAACCGTTTTCAGTTTTTACGGTGTATTTGATGGGCATGCTGGTCACGAAGCTGCTGCGTATGCTGCTGCACATCTACCTCAATACTTAACAGAATCTCCTTCGTACAAATCAAATATGGAACTTGCACTAAAAGAGGCATTTCTCAAAACGGATAAGAGTTTTGTCGAAAAATCACGGGCGGAAAATTTACGTAGCGGAACAACAGTTGTATCTGCAGTATTGCAACCCCGATTGTTAACTGTGGCATGGGTTGGCGACTCGCAAGCTCTACTGGTCAAAGAAGGGCGTGTTATGCAGATTGTAGTACCACATAAACCTGCACGAGAGGTTGGTAACAATGCCTAAACTAAGTATTTCTAACGTGTAGCTATTATATTTTTAATTATTTAAGGATGAGAGAAAACGTATCGAAGACCTTGGAGGATTTATTGTTCAGTATGGCATACCGCGTGTGAATGGACAACTAGCTGTATCTCGTGCGATAGGTACGCAAATTTATTTTTATATTGCATGACTGAAAAGTAGAGATAATAAAGGCAATTATTCCTTATTAAAACGCCGACGTTGGTGCTCTATCCGAAAGTAATTAGGTGGCGTGAGATTGCCACACTTTTTTCACCCTTTTTATCTCATTTGTAGTTGAATTTTCTACACTCTACCTTTTATAGTACTTTTTTATTTTTCATTCAAGTCCGTTCATATATATATATATATATATATATATATATATATATATCAGACACGTCAAACATAAGGCCCGCGGACCGCATCCTGCCCCTGGCCTGAATCATAACGGCTCCGCGATCGTAATGTGTCACAGAAAAAAGAATCATATTCTTCAGAGTTTTTAGACTTGTTTTAAATAATCCTTCTCTTAACTCTTCCACTAAACACATTTATGTACAGAAAAATATTCATATTTATATTAGGTATACGAATTTAGTCATTTAAGGGGATATTCTAGTTGATTCTAGTCTAGCTAGACTAAAAGGCCTGAGTTTCATGTGATTTTTCGTCCACGTTTTCGCAAAAAATCCTGAACCGATTTTGAATATTGAAAAATCGTTCAAAATATTTCTTTTGGGGATTTAGTTACTTAAGAATGTATTCTAGTTTGGATACATAAGTTTCATGTGATTTTTCAAAAACTGTAAAAAAAGCAAACGAAATTTTTACTATAATTTTTTTCGTTGTAGTTCATACTGAAGAGAAGTCTATAAATAAGTAAAAGTAAATCGGTCCGGTAGAAACTGAAATGTCTTGGGTATCGTCGAGCCGTTTCTTTGTGAATAATTTAACAATTTTGTGAGTTTGAAGACGGTAATAGAGTTTTGGATCAAACAAACATCCTAAAATATTTGGGAGCCGACGGAAATGTGTTTAATTATAAATAATCATTACAATGTTTGTGTACTATAATTAACATAATTACATATACGTATTAAAGGTCCGTTTGAAAGATATCAATTAGAAATCGCATTTTGAAAAGAGAGAAAATTTTATATTCGAAATAAAAAATAGTTGATGTACCGATAAGTCCATGTAAGTTGCCTTAAGATAAAATACCACTGACGCCAGTTCATTTTTAACCCGGCCCGCCTATGAATTTAAAATTTAATAAATGGCTCGCTGCAAAATTGAGTGATATATATATATATATATATATATATATATATATATATATTTATTGTCAAATGTTTAGGGTCCTGATTTGATCCAACTTCAGTGGATACATATAATTTAAAAAAAAAAACACATAAAAAATATGATACACCAATTAATATAACAAAACTTTTTCAATAAATATTAAATTAATAAAAATAAAATTAAAATTAACAAAAAGATTTACAAAGCTATATATATATATATACATACATATAATGTGTGTGTGTTTGTAGTCTTTTTTTTCATATGTTATCAACCAAATTTTAATTATCTTTCTACATTGATCAAATTATATTCATCACGTCATTTTTTTTCTAAAGTACAAAAAATGTATTTATTATTTTAGATTATGTGTTTCTAATGATTAGCATCACATACTTTACAATTTTTAATTACATACAATAAAATATATTTCTGAATTAAATTATATTACTTTTAGGCAATGTAGATCATAAACCTTATGTGACTGGAGAACCAGATGTGAAAACGGTTTGTTTAGATGGGCATGAAGATTTTCTTATTCTTGCAAGTGATGGTTTATGGGATTTTTTAACAGAAGATCATGCGGCAACTTTTGTTTATGATTCTGTATGTAGTGATCCAGGTTAGTTGTATTTTACAACAATATATTTTTCTCAGTGTAAAATGAATTTAATACGAATTAGTCTATTAATACCATCGTTTTAAATATTAAAATAAACATTTATATTATTTCACTATTTACTTTTATGTATTTTATGCTTTTACATAAGTATTTATAAAAATTACGTATTGCAGTTTCTATTTCATCTAAAATCGAATTGATTATCATCATATGTTCTAGTCATAGCTAAGCAATATAGTAGTACTTAATATTTAATTAATTTATAAATTACAGATAATCCAGACCTTTGCAATAAAATAACTCAAGGATTGGTGTGCCTTGCTAAGCAGCATGGCAGTACTGATAATATTACTGTAATATTAATATTTTTGAAAGTGCCCAAGTTTTTGGCATCTCAGCAGTCAAATATGAAAATAAAGGTTAATGATGACCTATTAAAGGATTGCCATGAGCATTATGAACAATATGAAAATACAAATACAAACAACAATAAAGATCAGCAGAATAACATTACACAGCCAGCAAGTGGCGACTACCAGAAGGAATTAAAAGATAACATAATTTATATTGAATCTTTTAATTCATCAAATTCGGAAAATCGCGAGGATACCAGTAAGTAATTATATATGCATGCATGTATGTATTATGTGTATGAAGGTGTGTTTGTACATATATCTATTATATATCTTATCTTGAAACAAATTTTTATCGAATGTTTAATTAATTTTTTAAGGTTTAAAATTTGGCAGGAAAGATTTATTCTCATGATAAATTGTCCTCTTTTTTAGTTAATTATCTTCAAATAAAAAGTATTTTATATGTGAAAATTTTAGTTAGAATTGTTTCCGTTAAGAATTATCATGTATCAGTGATATCTGACCCTGCACCTGGTAAGAGGGGGTCTATCAAGCTTGCTGACTGCAGTAATAATAAAGTTCTTATTTACAATAGCCATATTAAGTAGTTTGATAAAATTGTAGTTATGCACGATAATTTTCATTTATATTTTGCAATTCTTATTTGCATTAAAAGATCAATAAAAAAGCATGATAAAGAATTTGCTTATGTTATTTCTGAGTAGTAATCTAATTAATTTTATTCTTGTTTGCATTTTGTGTGTGCTATGTATGGTTTTAACTAAAATTGTATATATTTGAATATATAATTCTATCTCAATATATTTGTTAGATTTTTATCTTTATATTGGTATTTTAATATTTATGCTCATTTTCAGATCTTTTCATCATTTTACTCATATTATTTTTTGATGCTAACATTTTATTTTTATCTTCATATAATAGTTAAATTTTATTGTATTTATATTTCATATTTTTGTTTTTGCATTTGTATTTATTTTATTTATGATTTAATTTTATAATGATTATTATATATCGACACTAGGAATAGTACTGCATATATATATATATATATATATATATATATATATATATATATATATGGTTAAATATTATAAAATGTTTCTAATGTGAAATTGAAAATATTCCGAAATGGGCAATATATTTTGTGGTGTTATAGTCACATTTATACATAAAAGCGCAAATAACGTAATATGTAACTTTGCAATATAAAGTATATTTTAAACATTTTTTAAACCGACTGAGTTTCGTGGAATAACTTGGCTGAATAACAAACACTTCAAAGATGCCTGAGAAATATCTCTTTGTAGGAAAAATTACTATTAAAGAACAACAATAAGAAATTCGAGCTTCTGTGTTTGCCCTCTTGTTTTTCCAGTTTTCAAAATATTTATTAAACTAGTGGTGTATGGCATCGTGCCTTAAGGCAAATTGCTGGAAATTCCCGTATCAAAAATTAAATTTTTAAAAAAAGATTAAATATGTTTTAAAATTTGAAAAAATTAGATTTTTGAGAAATTTTAAATTTTTGAACAAAATTACTGTTTTGGAAACAAATGTTTTTTTTTAGTTTGAAATATTTTGGAAATTTTGAAATTTTTTTTAAAGTTATCGCACTGCTTTAGCTGCATAGAGACGCAAAATCGAAGCGCGTAAGCGCCGCATTGACGTCTAACGGACGAACGATGTAACGAAACCCATAAAAATTGATACACATTATTAAAATCTCCATAAAATACCTGGTCATTTGATGTGCATTTATTAGATTTCCGAAACCGGTAGACCAGCCTTCCCAAAAATTTAATCAGTTCTTCATCTTGCCAATACAAGTAAAATATTTTTTAAATTATTGAAATCGGACGCTCTGTTCTCTTAAAAACTGAGTTACCGTTTTTGGCACTTTTTGCCTCGTATCTTCGAAACGGCTAGACCTGCCTATGCCAAAAACTAATCAGCACGTCTCCATTTTAATAGGAATCGAATCATCGAATGTTTTTTGAATAATTGAAATTGGTTGAACCGTGTTCCCGAAATCATCGACGAAAATTTGTATCCGCACACACATATTTACATCCATTTTTCCTAACGTATGCCAAAATGTTCAGAAATCTCTAAAACGTAAAGATATATATAAATATATATCTTTACGTTTCAGAGGTTTCAAAAAAATCGAAAATAAAAATCTTTATAAAGATTTTCATTTTCGATTTTTTGCGATTATTATAACTTGCCCTACGGGAAGTTAATTAGTGTTAATAAGTTTATTACATTGTTATAAGAGCAAGTACCGATTTTTATTGATAAAAAATTTAGGTTGAAATATAAAAAAATAATAGAAAAGAATATATATATTTAAATGTAATCGAAGCGCGTAAGCGCGTAAATGTAATATTGTTAATCTAGGAAACAAACCATTTAATATCTAGACACACCACACCAATTTCCTAACAGAGTGCAGCACGAGCGCTGTACAACATTGTTAACTAGAGAATTTTTATTGGCGTTTGATGTAACCGTTTTTTTCTGTTTTTGCTCATTAATTAACGATTGTTTTTCCATAAATTACTAGAGAATGTGAATAAAAAATATGATTATCTTGAATACTTAAAACATGATTAAATGTGCAACGAACTTGCCAAACATTACAAAAGAATGCGCTGGTTTCCTTCTCGTTATAAATAAATATTTCAATTAACAATCAGAATTTGAGCTATCAATATTTGACTAGTTTTATATTTAATAGCCTGTTAGGCCATCTTGTATAGAGATTTATCTTCCGTATTGATTAGTTTAAGACTAAATTCAAATGATTTTTTTCCAATATCAATCGCCTAGTTCGCGTCTGTGCTGCAACGATTTCTGCTTGCGCTTTTTTGATTCTTTGCCCATTATTGCAGTAAGTTCGTAGTTCTTATTACAGAGGTCAATAATAGGCGTGATATCACTGTGTGGAATTCTGTCTTGTAAGTGTTCACATTGTGAACTATATTCGGCGCAAATTTTCGCTAGTGTGAACTTACATCTTTATTAGTCAACGGCACTGTCCATCCATCGATCATCACTACATTTTATTCTCGTTTCTCCCGTTGTTGAGTTGTTTTTGTTTAGTTATTTTTAGAATTAAGTTTGTGCAACTTTTATTTCAAGTGAAGAAGCAGTATTATATTATGGTTATAAATGGCATTGCATGTATGACTCACAAAAATTAAAGGTGGAGTATTTTTGCACACGCCAACGAAATTATATATATATATATATATATATATATATATATATATATATATATATATATATATTATCACATGCATGTTGAAATTTAATGGTTGAGAAAATAACAGTTATTTTCCACGTACAGTTTTACTTCGAGGTTTGCCATTTCGAATTTTATTTACATTGACAGTCCCATGTGTTTAAAATGTTGTGCTTCGGTTGAAATTTATTGTTATCACATAATTCTTGCGTTGTGACCGTATTTGGAATGACATACCGGTGTTGTTACAAATATTTGAGAGTATTACTTTAGCCGTCTTGTTAACAGTGTTTTCGTTTATAAATGAGTATTGGTTAAAAGGCGGTAGTCTATTTGTTTACAATATATGACGTAAATTTCGGTTATTTGAAATAATTAGACGCAGTTTGTGTATGACTATTTTGGTATTTATGGTCAGTGTTATATTTGTCATCGTCTTATAAGAATATAATTTTTACAGAAGTGAGTGTAGCGATTGATGATGAATTAGAAAACGGGTGGAAGTATTCTGAAGGTGCACAAGATTTGAGTGATTCAGTAAATAAAGTGAGTTTAACATTTATTAATTATTGTCTACTTATTTAGTTAGGATATGTCAATATACTGAAAGAAATTAATGACTTGTGCCTCTGGTGTGATCTTCTCTTTCCAGTATTGTTTGTGTTATACATTGTCTATTCATAAAATGGAAAAATTTTATACAGTTTCTTGATAATTTCAAGAAAATGTCCGTCTTGGAATTTCGACCACTTCTTTCTTCCTGTATTTAGTGGTATAGCCAGATTTAAGTGAAATTTGTCAAACTAAATTGAAAAACGTGAATTTCTAAATAAATATTATAGATACAATGTTATTCAAAACAAAACTGAAAATCATAAATATTTTCTGTTCTAAATGTAGAATTGGATAAACATTTCTTTTCGAAGTTCCAAAGTAACTGTTTGATTTGACATAAAATATTGTTTGGTATACTTAAAAAAAAAACTAATTTCTTCAATTTATTGAAATTAATTTTATATTCAAATTGAACGTGCTATATATGAAATATGAAATAGGAATGTGTGTTTAATATTCGAAACATATCTAAAGTCTGAATTGATAATAAATATTATTATTATGTTATTCACATACAACTACGGCTTACAGATAACTAGATGCTGATTTAATAAACTCAATTACTATGATAAACTAATTACAAAATTATCATAATCTTACTATTCCCAATAACTGATGTAAAATTATTCTAATCAGATCTATTTTGTTTTATAAATTTTTTTATTCTGTTAAAACTATCTTCTACTTTTCTTTTCGTTTCTTCACTTTTCAAATAATGTTTTGTATATAATTCTAAGAGACAAATCTTAAATAACTATGGAATTAACATATTGTATGAAAAGTATTAAGAAATTAATAACTTTATAATCAAATTTATTTCAAATTGATACAAAATAACTAATTACATTTTTTTTCAACAGTCATCCAAAAATAAGTTGAATGACTACATGATGGCGTCCCAATTGAATCCAGAAGCTGCCGAGTTTGTACCGGTTGAAGCGGGTAGTCCTGCACGATCAGTATTATTTTTGAGAGAAGGCTTGCTTGGTATTGCAATTAAAATTTGATAAATTTTGCTCACTAATATATAACTTATTTTAATTACATTATCCATGACTTACATTATCTGAATAATATATTATGTGATTAATCATTTATTTTATAAATTTTCTAGATGATGTAATGGCTCGAAGTCCAAGACAATTTAGTGCTGCTGAACAAGTTCTTAATGTACCATCGGATACTGAATTTGCATCAGAAATTAAATCAAGACCAGGAGAACTAAGTGCAAATGTAACATAAATTGCTTACTATTCATGGATTGTTACAGTACATTTACTATATAAATATTTGTATACATATCTGTTTATGTGCATCGTATATGACCACTCTTTTATATACCTCTCATTTTATACAATAAATTATGAATTGTGAAGACTCGGCCATTGATCCGCTTCAAAATATTTCGGAGCATGCACTTTGAGTTATCGTTTCTAATTTTAATGTGATTCATCATACTAATCTTCACAGTATTGATTACTATTTATGAAGTGAGGATTTGTTTTTATGGCTATTCATTCAGTTTTTGAGCATGTTTTCCTTCCATGTTTTTTTATGATGCATGAAATTAAATGTGACTTTTGTTTTTACAGGGTTCTTTTGAAAGCGATAAGAAAGAATTAATTTCTACTATAGGAGATGGAATTGACTACATCAGCAATGAGAATATAGGATTCTTGCCCATGTCACAAAATTCCAATAAATTCTTTGAACCTGCATGTGAAAACAATGACTTTTTGGTAATAAGTAATAAAATACAAGATGAGCTAAATACAGTGCAGAAATTGCCTTTATCTGATAGTGATGAAGAAAGTGATAGCATGAAAACTAATTCACAATTTAATAATGAGAATGAAAGTTACGAAAGAAAATTGAATGAAAATGATCATTCTTTACCGTCCGAGCTACAAGATTTTTCAAATTCAGCTGATCAGAACAATGTGCCCTATGTTGCGGAGCAGAATAATATTATTGAAGAGTCTTTAGATTCTATCAATAAACGATCCTCATTTGATAATGATGAATATGTGCAAACTAGCAAGGAAATTATACAGGCATCTTTCATAAATGAGAAGGAAAGCATGTCACCAGATAATGAGCAAAAACTTTTAGAACAAATAAATACGGTTGGGTTAATGGACAATGTTTTTGACACAAGTAATGAAATTGGGAAAGATCATTCTGGCCAGCAATCAGTATTTGACAGTATTGTAGAAAGTGTAAGTGAAAATACTCAATTTTTTTCTAAAATTATAGAAGATGTTAAAGCAAATGATAAAAACGAAACATTAGAAATAGATCTCTGTGATAAAAATGTACTACTTGATTCCACTTTGTCAAACAAAGATGTGTTATCTGAGAATAAGAATTTAGGTTTTTCATGGAGCGCCAGTGATTCTGCAGAACTCCAAATTGGAACAGTAATTTGTGAAGAAGATCCCATTCATATCACTAATCAAAATAACATAACAAATACAGAATTAACCACAAGTGAAAATAATTATCAAGAGCAAAATGCATTAACAAAACAAAATGATAATGAATGTTTTGAGCAGAAAATACCTGTACCTGTGCCATTAGAACCTAATATACACCTGCTTGATTTTCCTTTAATAGAAAGTAAAGAACATGATTCAAACAAATCAAATGAAATGGCAATAAAAAAAGATGATGAGCAAGATATCTCAACTTCTACTTCGATTAATTCACTAATATCAAATAAAGAAATTCAAAGTAATCTAATTGATGATCAAAATATGGAATTAACACATTCGAATGTCTTAGAAAGTGAATTGCTCATAAAACCTTTAGAAATATCAAATGGTGTTCAGGAAGAACAAATAAAACTATCAAATAAAACTTTGCCCAAACCTATAGAACCATCAAATGAAATGTTGGTGCAATTAGATCAAGGTTTAAATGAAAATATGAAAGAAATAAGAGTGACCAATAATTCTTCTGATGAAATAATACCTTCACCATATGAAAATTTAGTAAAATCAGCAGAACTAATAAATGAAAGTCTTGAATCAATGAAAGTATCAAATGAAATTCAGAATGAACCAGCGGAACAATCTAACATACTCTTCTCAGAAACTAATGTTTTATGTTCTAATACAGAGGCAGATCTTACACATATTTCTAAGGAACCGGACAATGAAATTTTGCCAGCAGATTGTATAATTGTAGATAATTCTGCAACAGTTTTAACAGAAAATGTGAAATTGCCTTCAAATGATCCATCAACAAGGAAAGATGCATCTGCTAATGATGATGAAGTTCATACAGCATTAGTTGATAATAATGCGTCATCAGTACAATCTGGAATAAAAACAGTAGTTGATAAAATAGAAAAATCGCCAGTTTGTAATTTAGGAAAACAAACATCACCTAATAAAACTTCTCAAAATACAATTTCTTCAAAATCCTCAACTGCTGGTGTTGCTTCTAGGACTTCAAAATCTTCAGCAACTTCTAAAACAAATGCGACATCAGCCAGAGATGCTGTAAAATCTACTGCAACAAAACATACATCTATTGCTCCAACAAAACCTTCTTTGGTCGCGAAAAAGCCTGGCTTGGCCGCGACAAAGCCGGCTACTGCGGCCACAACAAAGCCGGCTACTACGGCCGCAACAAAGTCGGCTACTACGGCCTCAACAAAGCTTGCTTCGGCCGCAACAAGGCCGGCTACTACGGCCTCAACTAAGCTTGCTTCGGCCGCAACAAGGCCGGCTATTACGGCCTCAACTAAGCTTGCTTCGGCCGCAACAAGGCCGGCTACTATGTCCTCAACAAAGTCGGCAACAACGGCCACAACAAAGCTTGCTTCGGCAGCAACAAAGCCGGCTTCAACAAAGCTTGCTTCAGCAGCAACAAAGCCGGCTACTACGGCCTCAACAAAGCGTACTTCAGCAACAACAAAGCCAGCTATAACGGTCTCAACAAAGCCGGCTACTACGGCTTCAACAAAGCTTGCTGCAGTCTCAACAAAGCCGGCTGCCACGACTTCAACAAAGCTTGCTTCGGCCTCATCAAAGCCAGCTTCGGCCGTCCCAAAGCCTGCAATTGGTGTTGTGAAACAATCGGGATCTACTACGAAATATCCTACTGCCAGTACAACTAGAGCCAAGCCAGCTGCCACTTCTACAAGGCCCACAACTGCTGATTCAGCGAAGTCAGCTACAGCAGGTAATGGAAGACCAGCTGTCAGTGGTACAAAATCGGCCACTGGCACTGCAAAATCTGCTAAACCTACTGCAAATTCTGCTGGCAATTCTGTTAAGTCTACTACTACTTCTACTGCAAAGTCTGTCACCAGAACTGCAAAGTCCAATTCTGGTTCTGCAAAAACTACTGCTAGCACTGTGAAGAAGCCTGATGCTAGTCCTAGGTCTTCAGTTGATATTCCAAAATCTTTTGATGCCTTGGGAACTAACTCTGGCAAGTCGGACCAAGACTTTGATGCATCTAAATGTAATACTAACATTGTAAATCCTCAAATTACAAAGATTGCTTCATGTACAGTGAATACTGCTATTGAATCTTCAAATGCTTCAGAATCAACAACGCATAACAAGTGAGCATCTTATTTGTCCATTGTATATATATAATGTTCTAAGGTCTAGCATTGTTACTTACTGGTATCAAGTTTAATTAAAAATAGTCTGCTCATAATAAGCTAATTGATTAATAGCAATATTTGTTATTATCATAAAAAGCCAATTTTTAATTGCTGGATTTTAATTATGGTTATTTATTTCAGTCAATGCACAAACACAAATCAAAATGAGGATAACATTGAGAATTTTCTGAAAAATGAAAACTCTGTTTCTTGTGTGGAAGGAGCAAGTGGTTGTACAAACATATCACATGAGGTATAGATTTAGTATTTTTTTTATTAAATACTTTTAATAGCTTTGTTACATAATTTTAATTTCATTTTTACAGGATGTACAACAGTGAAGATATTTTTATATACAAAGTTTATATAATAAAAAGTTGCTTCTTTATCTGCGAATGAACTATCGCCACATATACCAAAATGGAGGTGGTTTTAAATTTATATGGCAAATATATTTTACTTTTATAATTAATTCTATATGAGATTTTACTTGTCTTTTTTAAGCATCATGAAATTACATTAAACATCATTATACTATTTCTATTTTTTTATTTATTTTTTATGAGTAATATGATTATATCTATATTCTATATATTCTATATTCTATAGAATATATAAATATATATATATATATATATATATATATATTTAATTAATTAATTTCTTGGAGGGCTTAACATCAAGTAAATAATAATTGAAGATTTTTCAAACATCTTTATTGTTCCATACGTTTCGACGTAAAATTCTGCATGGTCATTAGTGGTTTTAAAATTCTTAGATTAACACATACATATTGAGAACATAATAATTGAAAACAAGCACTAAATGTCAGTGATTACTTCTTTTTCCAAAAAATAAAATATTTTTAGGGTTTAAAGTTCATCATACATTTCAACATCAAATTTAAGTAATTAGTTCAGTATTAGTGAGGAAATCTAGACTAGTGACTATAAGGAAATTATAAGTAGGCTTGAAAAACCAGTTCCTGAAAACCTCAATAATTGAGAATAAACTAATTGACAATGGATAATAAAGGATAAAGGTAATATTATTCAACAACTTGGTCAAATAGTTGCTGGAAATGAGATTTTTGCTTGGAAACAAAGAGCAGGTTAAACCAGTTGCACCCAGCATTACTGTCGATCCTGAGAGAGCATTAATAAGGAGAAAATTGAGGAATAGGACTAAAAATATGAAGCATGGTCAAAGGTTCTAGTGAAATTTCAAATAAACAGTCAACTGTGGAAGCGGCATTAAAGAAACTGGAATAGAAGCCTGATATATTGCATGAAACAGCTGATCTGTGAATTATTGATTTACTTTGTCAGCAAACTATGGCGTGGTTAACTAGCAAACAAATAAGTTTATTCAATATTTATTTCTATTCAATACTCCCGACTTTCGGCTAACTATCGGTTTCGAAGTCACGTAGTGGTGGATTTACAGCACCAGCAGTCGGGTTTAGTGCCAAGGGCGGCAAATGTTCTTGTGTGAAATTTAGAAAGCGAAAAAATATACTATACAATTTAATTAAATACTTCTTCTTAATAACATTTTTTATTTAAAAAAATTATGCATTATGTTCCAAATTGAACCTTTATATATTATAGTTTTGAAAATGTAAGTGAAAGCTAACTATCAAAATAGTTGATATATTTTCATGAAGATTTGAAAATATTTGATTATTTTTGAGAATTAATAAATTTTTGCAGTTTTTCTGAGAAATCAAAAATATTATCAAATTATTTATGTCTTTTGCGGCAAAATTTCAGTGATGGGGCGATATTTTTGTCAGTTGCATCGGGCGGCATAAATTAAAATGCAGACGTGCGTTCGCGCCAGCGGTGTGATGCTTTTCCGAGATCACCTGGCATTTGCTACAAAACAAATAAAAACAATTATTATCGCTCAATTTATCATTAAATCTATTCACATAGGAATAGGGAAAACTATCGAGAATACTTGACACGCGTTCTAAAAAATATTTCAGTATTATAAAAATCTTTATATCCCCAAAATGAAAGTCTTCTCAGTAACACGAGGCCGTCAATTTGATCAGGGACTTGCTCGATGCGTCGACGCCCTTACGACTGAATCATGAGCATTGCGATGTAGTAATCCTCTGTGTTCTTGCCAAGGCGTCAAATATTCCTGGGAAAATTGTAATTTTATGGATTAGGAGGATTTCCACATGCGAAATTATACTTTTCAAAACGCTAGCAATTTGAATATACCAAAACAGTAGTATATATTCAGATTGGAAGGGAGGACTTCTCATACCGCACTGGCAGTTGCGGGTAAAAGTATTAAACATTTGTTCAAAGAATGGTAAAATGTTTACAAATAAGCCGAAGATCAACATAAAAAAATATGTTAAATGAAAATAAAACCACATACACTACTTCCAGCAGAAGATATGTTGACCTGCAATGATGAATTAAAATTTATTAGACGTGATAATAGGACAAACTATTCAGAATAACTTGAGACATCGAGAGAACATAAAATGAGCAAATGAAATATTCTGGAGAAAAAATGAACTTCTCGCTTGGGAATTTAATAAATTTAACTATTTGTGCTTATTATACTAGTTTGCAATTGCTATTTATATTGTTTAACATAAATGGTTCAATAATTTAAATTGCAAGGTGTAAAAATATTTTAATTGGAATCGGTCAAAGTAGTAAGTATAAGCTCATGACTTCTTTTAATTTTCAGTTTATTATTTATAATAATCAATTAATTTCATTGTTTTGTTGAACATCAATACAAATATTATAAGTATTCTATAATTGAATACATATATTTATCAGATGTTTATCAAATAATAATTGAGTTCTACAATCACAGATAAACAAGTCTATAACCGTCTACAGTCCAATCTAATAACGTCAATTGGATTAGTTAAGAGTATAATGTTTATTGGGCATATATATCGAAATGAAATTTTCAAATGCAATAATAGCGTGAAAGAGTTTTTCAAAAATGAAATTAAATATAACTAGTAGCGTATGGCATCATCGTGCCTTAAGGCAAATTGCTGAAACTTCCCGTACCTTAATGAAATATTCGAGAAATGTAACTTTAAGTAAATAAACAAAACTTAATCAATCGGAATTAAAATGAATAACATTGACTAATATTTCTAAGTGTTATACAAACTGATGAATTGCAAGGTTTAAAATGATTTATTCGAAGTAATGTATATAAGTGATGTTTAGAACTTTATCTTAAATTAAAATTAAAATTAGAATTATTTTTCGATATTCAAAAAATTTTTTTTCTATTAAAAAAAATTTCTTTCCCCAAAAGCAATTGTTTCGTCTACACAAGCAAAAAGTTTTTTTTGAATCATTCAAATCGGATGCTTAGTTCTCTCAAAAACTGACATTTTTTAGCACTATTGCTCTATACCTCCGAAGCCGCTAGAGCCGTCTTCGTCAAAAACTAATCAGCACGTTTCCTCATCAATAGGAATCGAATGTTTTTTTGAAACATTCAAATAGGATAATCCGTACGCTAGAAATCGTCGACGAAAAATTGTCTCCACACATGCACTTACGCATCCATTTTTTCTGGGGTATGCCAAAATGTTCAGAAACTTCTGAAACGTAAAGATATGCAAAAAATTATATTGCATACATTATATATTGCATAAATAAAAACATGCATTACTTTAAAGATTTATTACAAAATCCATACGTTTCAATCAATTACATCGCAAGATCGTAGAAGTCTCGCAAAATCGCGATCAAAAATTCGAAATTATTTTAACCGAAACGCACGGGAGCTACGAGTCTACGAGCCATAGAAAACTAAACATAAGCTACGACCGTAGAGCTCTGGGCTCTACGGTCGAAAGTTTTAGGAACATGTGTCGTGAAGTTGGTAGTGTTGAATTGTTTAGTTATTTTCGTATTGTATAATTTGACGTTTGGTGCTGTATAATATTATCTCTTTTGTCTGTGGTTGTATGATATTAGACACTAGAGCTAGTGTCTTCTCGGATTGTTTACTTCTCGTCTAGTTGTTGTTTACTATTATCTACGATAATGATTTTCATCGCAGTAATTGATTAAGTCCTTCGATTCAGCAACGGTGCTCGTGTTGCAATAATATACCGTCTAACTTTTAAACAATTTAATAAAATATGGCAAAGCGCAAAACTGATAATTCTTACCAATGTGATTCAAAACGATTCTCAGTACCTTTGCCTGATTTTTCTGTGCCACCGCCCGGTTTCAATTCAGCACCTTTTACTTCACAAAATTTTCAATCGAATTGGTTCAGTGGTCCAGCACAGCAGCAGCAGCAGGTTGTAGCATGAATGATTACCTTTAGATAGTCCTATATTTGTATCATTTCAACATTTGATTTTAGGCCTCGTATGGATTTTACAATTACAATGCCGCCGAAACATCTAATTTTGCTAATGCTTCCGCATTTTTTTGGACCCCGAACAAACCTAGAAATTTTCAAAATGCTCAACAAACTCGACCATCAGTGATACCGAATCTTAAGCTTAGAGGTCGCGGAAGAGGCCGCGCACCAGGACGAGGAAATGATTCTTATATGTAATGTTAACATACATCTAATATTTGCATTTTTTTGCATAGAATGTGTAAACTAATACAATATCTTAACACAGATTTCATGTTAATTTGTTTATTAAAAGACTAGAATGAGTTCGACTAAATATTGATTATATATAAACTCATTCGGACTATCTTCAATAACAATAGCTATTTAATATTATAATTTAGAAAAAAATATAATACACTTTATCTTATATATCTTTGTGCTGCATTATTTCTAAATTCATAAAACAGAGAATATATGGTTATTTCGATTTAAATACATATCATTGCTTTTATTATATTATGTTCAATGTTTGGAGTTGTGCATATACTTTCAAATAATAAATTCAAATATTCTATGTATTGAAACTGTTTTTTGGTGTTGGTACATTTTTCTTGTTATTTAATGACACTAATCATTGCAGTAATAAGTCACCAAGAAGTTCAAATTCAAGTGGTGGAGCACCGCAATGGTTTCCAAATAGCATGAACAATTCAAATTCTCGTTTCTCCAATAGTTACTCTAATGATAATGATAGAATTTCTGAATCTGGCAGTATAAATGGTAAATGAATATTTTGCAAGTATTATAGACCGTAATGAGTTAAACATGTTTTCTTCAAAATATTTTAAATGTTAATGCTTAAATGATTTAAATATGCAAAATTATAGCATTACCGTTTTCTTTAGATTACTTGTAACATTAGTTTCAGATGAAAAAAATGAAAGTAAGAAGACTATTGTTAACAAGAAAGGTAAACGCAAGTCAATGTCTCAAAAATATTCATCGAAGCCTTGGGATTTAGAATCTGCTGAAAAAGCAGTTGCTGTAGAATTAGAATATAATAGACTACAGAATACACAATCCTTAATTCTAAAATTTCCTGATGCCGAGTTAAATAAAGAAATAGTTAAGAATTTCAATAGCAACATTGAACATGTGCATTTTCAACAACCATCAACACCCAGGTTGGTAGATTGCTGTTTATATTAACAATTTTAATATTTTTTTATTGCTAATTACATGCAAAGTTTGGTTGTTTTATCATATTAAATATTTTTAGATATTGTTTTGTACAACTTTGTGAAGGTGCTGATGTTGATTCTGTTCAAAATCAATTGCGAGAAGTAACCTTTGGTGGTGGGAAAATAACAGTAGAAAAAAAAATTAATCAGAAATCAAAAGAGGTAAATTTTATTTTTATTTGTTATTTTTTACCTCATTTATTTAATTGCGAGTTTTCTGATTTATATGAAGATTGGGTTCAATTGTATGATATTTTAAATATCAACAATTATATTTTTTGTAGTTCAAGACTACTCACAAATATTAAATAAAAATATGAATTTATCGTTTTAATTATAGTGGTTTGACATCAAAGTAACTATATAAATTGCAATCTTGAATTAGCATTATCAGCTGATTACTACATTACATTTATTGAGATGGTATATATGTATATTAGGGTGGTCTTTAAAATGGTTATTTTCGAATTTCCTTGCTCCCAGGGGCTAAAATGGTTCCAAATTGATAAAAAACAATTCTCTGAAAGTTTTAGCTCTCAATATTAACATTTAGATAGAGCGCAATTCAATCAAAGTTTTATATGGAAATAGCATGGAAAAATTTTCAAAAATTTTAAAAATATTATTTAGATGTAATTTAGCGAACAAATGAATGAATAAAACTCTTTCATTTGTTGCTAAGTTATACCTAAAACATTTTTTTTAAATTTTCAAAATTTTTGCTCTCTCCATACAAACTTTGATTGAATTGCACTCTATCTAAACATTAATATTAAGAGCTAAAACTTTTAGAGAATTGTTTTTTATCTATTTGGAACCATTTGAGCCCCTGGGAGCAAGGAAATTCAAAAATGACCATTTTAAGGACCACCCTAATGTGTGTATATATATTGAGTTTAAAAGTCGGGTGTTACATCAATAAAAATTGTATGAGTTTTTAGAAATTTATTTAAAATCCATATGGCTAGCGTCTTAGCTTTCATTCAGTGGCAATCAATATAACTTTTTTATTTCAATGCATTTAATATATTTTATATTATCTGCATCCTAGCTTGCTCCTGAAAAAATTGATCCATATACATTGTATGTTGGAAATCTACCTACAAATATTACTGCAGAAACTGTAAAAGCAATATATCCCACAGCATTTCGAGTAGACATAGGTTATGCTCAAAAGATGAAATACACAAGGTGATTGCTTTAATCCAAAATATTTATAAAATTTAATAATATTTAACAACACATAGAGTTTAAATATTTATAAAGTATTTAATTATAGATATGCTTTCATAAGTTACCAATCTGCAGAAGCAGCTATTAAAGCATTTAAGGATACTCATAGTCTTAGCTTGGAGTCTCGATCCATAATAGTAAGATTTAGAAGACACAAGGGAGCTGTTGGATTACCAGGCCAAAGCAAGACACCTGGGGTTTGTATTACAATTATTAACAAATGTTGATATTATTTACATATATCCAACAATTGCTATCTTTTACTTGAATTTTAATTTTTTACACATTCAGAGTAACAGTCTGTTAAATAGTATTAACATAGATAAGGATTATAACATATATAAGTGTTAAATATATATTTGAAGTATTTTGCAGCTAAATTGTCGAATTAAAAGTAAGTTGATATAGAAAAATTCTTCATTCTATTTAACGTTTGAAGAAGTATTAAGGGATATAAGTAATGACTCAACTATCATTCTAAGGTCACAATTCTTTTCAGTATATAAGGTGGTAGCTTTGGACATATTGATGGTATTGGTTGTTATTGATGGTTCAGGTTAATCATATGTTCTGATAACATAGTTTTAAATTGATTTGGGTTTCTAGAGTTATGTATATGTTGATTAAATTAACCCCTTTTTTTTGTATATATTGGGAACTTTCCCCAATGTAGCAACTGTTGCAATCATTGCAGTCCAACTCATATACAGCGTCAGTAACTCTATCCGCAGGAGTTTTTGATTTAAGGGCAGAAAAAAACATTGAACGTATTATCGAAACTGAAACTGAAAGAAAACCTTCAGAGGCAAATAACTTTCTTAAGAATTAAGAAAAATTGCTTAACACTAGAAAGACGGACGAATTGAATATACCTACATTGCCTGAAAACAGTCAAAATGACTGCGTCGTGAAAAAAATAAATAATGCGTTTAGAAATTTGTTTAAAATTATTTTTTATTATTTTATGTACTATTTACATTTATACGAATTATCTATAAGTGCTAAAAATAAAAAAATAGTTCATCTGAAATAGAAGTTCATTATTTTTACAATTTATGCAAATATAATTTAAGATCTTTTTATGAGTACATTTTCCGCAAACATGTTTGTTGCAACTTTGACGCGTATTATTAGTTTTATTATTATTGCAAAGTCTTATTTGGCAAAATTTTTTTTTATTACTATTGGTATTTGCATGATGTCTGTGGGTCATCATTTTTCTTTGATTTTTTTTGTGTTGATGTCGTGTAGTTCGCGGAAAGCTGTTCTGCCAATTCAAACAAAAACTGTTCTCTAAGGATTTGTTTTCTTTGGATTTTTATTCCTGTCGCTTCCTTGTAAAGAATCCAGACATTTATCGCAGCCAAATCCAAAATGTTGAAAAATATTTGCAGGGGTCATCTACTGGATTGGAACTGGATTTTACAGTATATTTTCTTTACCTTTGATCTGCCATGGCTTCTTTGCTGACCATAAATAAGTCAATTTCAATTTTTTTGCCTCATAGGCCCCACGAGCATATAAAATTCCAATAAATGCACGTATTTCGGGTAACGCTGTTGTCCAATCGTACTCCAAAATTCGACTGCCTTCTTCTTCTGTACACTGTTTTATGTGTTTGATAACATAATTATCTATTATCAACGAAAATGCTCTGACAAGATCACCTGTAATAATATTCTTTTTTGCATAGCTTGTTGGCCCTTTCACACCCTTGAAAACACAATTAGATGATGACCTTCCTGGAGTACCACCTTCGGCAATTTTTGTCCATACAGTACCATCGACAGGTGTTTCCGTTTCTTGAATTCTTTCATCAGTTTCTGAGCCACTTAGCACCGGTCTGCACACACTGATGACACTTTCATTTTCATCAATAGTGATCACCTTCATCGCTACCCTCAGAATCAGATGATTCACGTGGAATATAATCCAATTCATCTTCAGATGATTGTGCCCAATTTTCTGCATTTTATCCTATGTCGGAACACTCTTCACTTATGTGTGTTAGCTTTTGCAACAATTCACTTCTCTTCGACATTTTATTTATAAGTTCTAAAAAATCAATTGAACAACGCGTTATACTGAAAGTTACTACGTGAAAAAGACAGGTCTAATGTCAATACTTACCATAATTCGGTTATTTCTATGTAAAAAATGCATTATCGCTCATTCGAGATGAATTAACGCGAGATAACGATTTGCAATACAATAACAAAGCCATTTGTTTATGTAAAATTTCTATAGCAGTCAAAATGACTGTTTTCCGTCCATGTAGGCATAACATGTAAGAATATTGAAAATAAAAGTGAGATAAGGCAAATAATACGATTTATTTACGCATTTATATGTTGTATAAAAAGTCACAAAATTTCACGAAGCTGCGACTTCAAATACATAGTTATTTTTATGTTTGAAAATGGAAAACAGTCAAAATGACTGCGTCCGTCTTTCTAGTGTTAAAAAAGGTAAACAAATAACACCTTTATATTTATTTAAAGAGAAAGAATTTAATTTTGAAGAAGAATTATTTAGGGATGAAGAATGACTGTTTAAAGTGATAGGAAAAATAATTTAAATATAACCTTGACCAAGTTGGCTTTTGGAACCAGTCAGCGAGGATGACATTTTTGTTTCTAATAATTTTTAAGTCTCGGAAACTAATAGAGTTACTAACATCAAGTTCACAAGTGAACTGCGAGTGCTTGTTGAACGAATTAAAGAAATTTAAGTGTGTGATGCATAATCCTTATCTAAACACAAGAGAATGTCATTAACATATCTATAGTAAAAATAAGGTTGAATGGTAAGATTAGTCAAAATGAAGTTTTCTAAAATTTGTAATGTTAAATCAGCCACAGGAGGGCTAATACTAGACCCCATGGGCAAACCAAAAAACTGTGAAAAAATTTATTGTCAAGACAAAAATAAGTATTTTCAAAAATGAAATTTAAAATAATTTTAAACCAAATCAAGTCAATAGATGTATGCGGGTGGATATCATTCTAACAATCAGAAACAGCTTGTAAAGCAAGATTCCAAGGAATATTGGAAACAGGAAAATGGCGTAAAAACTGGCAAAAAATGTTAGGAGGGATTTCAGAATTGTTTAAAATTTCAGCTAAATTAAAAGAATTTGAAACATTAAATTTAGAAGAAATGATAACTTTTGAAAGTATAGAGCTAATATGTTTTGAGACTTTGCATGAAGGAGAATTTATGTCAGAAACAATAGGTCTGAAAGGTAAATTTGGTTTGTGAACCTTAATAAGAGTAAAGTTTTGGAAATCTAGGAATGAAAACTTCAAGACAAAAACCTAAGGGTTTGGAGATTTGTTTGTTTGAGATTAAATTACATGTACATTTTATATTTTTTTATATTTAATATCAAATGTTGTTATTTATGTAATGTTTTTTTTAGATTACTGAATGATGACACACATTAAGTGTCGAAATGTCTAATAGTATAAAGAATTTTTATATATTAACCTTCTTTTAATTTGATGGTTGGGCTGCAAAATATTTCAAATATGTATCAACGTCGACATATATATCTTAGTCATATATATATATATATATATATATATATATATATATATATATATATATATATATATATATATATATATATATATATATATATATATATATATATATATATATATATAGATATATATATATATATATATATATATATATATTATTATTACGAATTCTTTTCTTCTTATCATATTATGTAAACTAAAGTCTTCCAAATAAAGATTCATCACAAGCTTTGGTATTCGGCCGAATATCAAAAAAGGTCCGAATATACCAAATAGTGACCGAATATATAATTTGGTGCAAGCCTAATATATATGTGATAAATTTAAGAGTTTGCTCAAGGTTCTGTTTTGATTGGATTTATTTTTGGAAAGAAGCTGAAAGAATTCATTAAACTGGCACTCATTTTTAGTTTTATTTCTGTAGAGGAAATCAAATATACAATATTAAAATATATTATTTAAATTAAATAATATGCTGATGGTTTTACCCAACTTCTGTATTAAAATTTGTGTATGACTTCAGTTACATTTGTACCACTATTAATCACTTATATTACATGATACTCAGTAATTGCATTATAAAGTCAAAATGTTTATTACATATATCAATCAGCACTTAAGTGAAGAAGCTGTGTCTAAAAGTGCAGGAAACACCAAACAACAATCTAAGAAGTCTTCGCTTAGTATGACAGATGATGGAGACATTGGTGGTAGTGATTTACATGATGGACCAATGGAGGTATTAATTGTTACTGCTTTTATTATTTGCTTTAATTGAGTTAATATATGCAATTTTAGCAAATCCTAATATAAGCACTTCCTAATTTGATACTCATTTTCTTTTGCGTGGAATATATTTATGTTTACTCAAAAGTAAATATAAATAGTGTAATAATTTCTTATTTTTTTACCCTAATATATATATATATATATATTTATATATATATATATATTTATATATATTTATATATGGGTGGTCCTTAATATGGATGCTTACGAATTTCCTGGCTCCTAGAGACTCAAAAGCTTCCACATTGATCAAAAAAAATTCTCTGAAAGTTTTAGCTCTTAATATTAACTCTGAGATAGTCCGCACTACAATCAAAGTTTCTTATAGAAATAACATGGGAAAAATTCCATTTGTTTTTTAGAATTCCATAACTTAGCGACCAGTGAATCAAAATTGAATAATATTATATTTGCTTATTTTGATTATGAATAAAAAAATTCAAAACAAAAATTTAATATATTTTATAAATTACGTATTTACTTAAAAAGAAGAGCCAAGAAACTTTGTTTGGAGTGCGAACTACGTTAGAGTTAATATTAAGAGCTAAAACTTTCAGAAATTTTTTATTTTATCAATTTTTGGAAGCATTTACTCCATGGTAGCAAGGAGATTTGAAAACATCCATATTGAGGGCCACTCTTATACATATATATATATATATATATATATATATATATATATATACTAGCCGTCCCGACAGACTTCGCCCTGTCAAAAAAAATTGTAATGTGGCGGTGTTTTGTGCCTACCTTTTTTGTTTGATTACCTAGCGCATAGACAAACAAATCTGATGGTTTTCCAATACGGGAACAAACAACATACAATTTTCCATGTGAGAAACATGGGTTTTCTAAATTAATACCACAAACAGTTAATGATACCATAAACGCACTGGAAACGCATTGGGATGCATGGTGCGAGAACATCTTCTGCTTTATACTATCCTTTGAATATAGTTGGTCGATATTTTGCAACATTATAATTGCAGATCCAACCTTTAATTGAAGATTGTGAGGTGACAATCCAAGCAAATCCAGCGAGTTTAAAAACTCCGGTGGATCGTCTTGGTTAGTTGCCGAATCAACTGATTCGCCTGTAATTTGTTCTTGATTTTTGAAATTTAATTCATTTACATCAATGTTTTTGGCTGCCAATATAGCTCGTTAATTAATAGAAAGATATTTCTATCTTTATATAAATATATTCAAAATTAGATTATCAAAAACTGCACAAAATGTCATGACATAGATCATTGTTTTTTTTTTACAAATTGCGTTGCCTACTCGATTAAAGAAGAAAAGGGCTGTTTTTAGGGGTTTCCCGGCAATTATTCGTTTTTTTCTCGCCGTAACAACCAACCTTGGACTTCAACGAACATTTTAAAAAAATAATTGGCCAAATTGGTCCAGGCGTTGTTGAGTTATGCGCTTACCAACACATTTTGCGATCCATTTTTATATATAAGATATATGTATATATATATATATATGGAGGCTTGGTCCATATTAAGACCAATTGTAGTCATAATAAATTTCATAAAATATTATTTATATTTCGTTTATTTTATATATGATTAATATCCACGACACTATGTGTTGTCCTACTGATCATTAATAAAACGTTATTGGTATTTTCTTATTTATAATAGAAAAGAAAGGTTTCAAGAATTATACATTTTTTTGGCAAAAACTACTAGAGAGAAACAAAAGCCGTGTCCGATCTGACACTTGAATTTATTTTTGTTTTTTTTCTGTGCTGTCAATATATGGGCCAATCTGTCCAGTAACATGTGATGCGTGTTGACAAGCCGCGATGCGTGTTGGCAACCCGCTACATCACTCCGCCCATTCCATAAAATATTATTTATATTTCGTTTATTTTATATATGATTAATATCCACGACACTATGTGTTGTCCTACTGATCATTAATAAAACGTTATTGGTATTTTCTTATTTATAATAGAAAAGAAAGGTTTCAAGAATTATACATTTTTTTGGCAAAAACTACTAGAGAGAAACAAAAGCCGTGTCCGATCTGACACTTGAATTTATTTTTGTTTTTTTTCTGTGCTGTCAATATATGGGCCAATCTGTCCAGTAACATGTGATGCGTGTTGACAAGCCGCGATGCGTGTTGGCAACCCGCTACATCACTCCGCCCATTCCATAAAATATTATTTATATTTCGTTTATTTTATATATGATTAATATCCACGACACTATGTGTTGTCCTACTGATCATTAATAAAACGTTATTGGTATTTTCTTATTTATAATAGAAAAGAAAGGTTTCAAGAATTATACATTTTTTTGGCAAAAACTACTAGAGAGAAACAAAAGCCGTGTCCGATCTGACACTTGAATTTATTTTTGTTTTTTTTCTGTGCTGTCAATATATGGGCCAATCTGTCCAGTAACATGTGATGCGTGTTGACAAGCCGCGATGCGTGTTGGCAACCCGCTACATCACTCCGCCCATTCCATAAAATATTATTTATATTTCGTTTATTTTATATATGATTAATATCCACGACACTATGTGTTGTCCTACTGATCATTAATAAAACGTTATTGGTATTTTCTTATTTATAATAGAAAAGAAAGGTTTCAAGAATTATACATTTTTTTGGCAAAAACTACTAGAGAGAAACAAAAGCCGTGTCCGATCTGACACTTGAATTTATTTTTGTTTTTTTTCTGTGCTGTCAATATATGGGCCAATCTGTCCAGTAACATGTGATGCGTGTTGACAAGCCGCGATGCGTGTTGGCAACCCGCTACATCACTCCGCCCATTCCATAAAATATTATTTATATTTCGTTTATTTTATATATGATTAATATCCACGACACTATGTGTTGTCCTACTGATCATTAATAAAACGTTATTGGTATTTTCTTATTTATAATAGAAAAGAAAGGTTTCAAGAATTATACATTTTTTTGGCAAAAACTACTAGAGAGAAACAAAAGCCGTGTCCGATCTGACACTTGAATTTATTTTTGTTTTTTTTCTGTGCTGTCAATATATGGGCCAATCTGTCCAGTAACATGTGATGCGTGTTGACAAGCCGCGATGCGTGTTGGCAACCCGCTACATATATATATATATATATATATATATATATATATATATATATATATATATATATCTATGTTCATAATTATTTTATAATGTTTTTTATTATTAGTAAAATTTTTCAAATTTATAGTAGTTGCTGAATGATGACACGCATCTTGTGTCGAAACGTATAAATAAAAGTTCTAAAATACTTTATTACCTTTTTTATTTCGACGAATGGGCTGCTAGTTACTTTGAAATATGTCGAAAAAACTATCAAGATATATACATATATCTTATATATATATATATATATATATATATATATATATATATTAGCTTAACTGTCATTATTAAGCTAACAGTAAAGTAGTTTTTATGCCCATATTCTAAACAAGCATACTTTTATATATTATTGTACAATTATTTGTTTTAGATTGATGAAGACGATTATGACATTCCTTATCATGATGATTTAGATGGTAAATATTTTTATATTAGTTAATTATCATATTTGACATTTTTTAACATTTTAATATTCATCTTTTAATTTTAGAGCATTACAATTCTGACTTTGATGATTCCTTATTTGATAATTTAAGATCAAGTAGCAAAGAATGCAAACGTTCTAATAAGGATGAGGTATTAATAATTTATAATGTAATATTATAGTGAAATTATCATCTGCAAATTTATATCTATTTTCTGCACAGATTTCAACTAGCAGAAATTCAAGTACATATAGAGAAAGCTTGTCAAAAACGAATAAATCCCAACAACTCAGAGAAAATACATCAAGCATGAGTGCTTCCGATATTTTGAAGTCAAAAGAGAATGAGGAAATTTCAGCAAATGATGCAGCAAAAAAAAATGTTGAGCAACAAATTGAAGAACTTATTCCAAATGTTATCACGCAGCTATTAAAATCTAGCGAAATAAAACAAGAACCACTAGAGGTAACTTATTTATAGTTTGTAATAAGTATAATTCTTATTATTATAATTTTTGTTTGAACTTCATTTTCAGAAGGATAACATGGAACAATTGCTTCAAAATCAATGTGAGTTAGTTTTTGTGAATATATTCAAATTATATATTTACTTTTGATATGTTCTGTCACAAATTAAAGTTCATATATAAATACGCATGTTGTGTTTTTATAACAATCATATTATTTTTTTCTTTTATTTAATAGTTCCAGATTTTGCAAATCACATAACTGCATTAGCTGTGGATGCTATTAAAAAAGAACCACTATTTGCTGAATATCTTCTTCGCAAAAAGCAAGTACCGATGCCTATGTTGTGTGCAGATGAAATTAAAACTGAACCAGCTGAGGTATTTTATTATCAATATTATTACTCAAAAATAAATTCTTTTATTAATAGCATATTATTATCCTTCATAAATGTTTTCAAGATTTGAGATTAATTTTTTTTTCTTTTAGCTAAATGAAGATGGTGATGGTGAAAATGATGTCACTCTTGCAAACATTGTACCTAAAATTGAAGCACCTGAAAGTGATGACCAGGATGATGGTGACTTAAATAGTCTTAAAACATCAAAGAGGACTCGAGAAGCAATGTATAAAAGACCACAAAAATTTAAAAGATACAAACCTGGATTTGATAATGCACCTGCTAATTGTAAGTTTTTGAAGTTGCATTTTGATTTCTGTTTAGGAATAGTGTATAGAGAGAAAACTTTACTTTCAGTTGCACTACCAGAACAACCAGTGGAAGATTTTGACATGTCGTATTTGTTAGACTACATTTCTGAAGAACAGGCACAATTTGAAGAGTTAAATAGAGAAACTATGGAAGCTGCAAGATATATATCAGCAAATTTACATAATATGAATGAAACAAATGTTTTCCCATCAAGTACGGGAACGAATGACAACTGTAACAACTCATCATCAGATGTCACAACATCACGTCCTGATTTTTCTGATACATTTTCAAGCAAATCTTTAACTTCATCTACATTTGAATCATGTTCACCAGTTCCGATTCGCCTACCTATGTCCAGACCTGCTAATACTGAAACAAATATGTCCAAAAATTTGTCTTCCGATAGTTCTAATTTTGTCAGTTCATCTATTGGAATATCATCGGATAGTAGGAATCAATTTAATATGGGAACACCACCACCAACAAGAACACCTCCAATGCTAGGAATGGCTGAATCTGTTTCTGTAAATGCGAAACCTACAGCTACCATTTTACCTGTAGTTACAGTATCTCCACTTGTCACTGATATTCAAACTTCTTCTTCAAATGTTTCTTCATCTGGAAAATATACAACAAGCTCATCACAGTTATCAACAATATCTTCATCAACTTCAAGACCTTCATCACAAACAGGACGACAAACAATATCAATAGCATCACAGTTTTTATCTCCGCCTACTTCTCATTGTACAACAGTTAATTCACCGGTAACAGCAGTTGCACCTTTGACTTTTTCCAGTTCTGATCAAAAAAGCTCCAATTTATCATCATTATCTACGAAATCTGCTTCTGGTATCAGTCCAAAATCTGCAGATTCGTTATTACAGTCTAAGGAAGCATGCACAAGTAGTTTTGATCATGTTAATAAGTCAACCAGTAGCACTCCCAAGATATCACGAAAATCATATATTGGAAGTTTGGACAGAGATCCTAGTATTCAGTTGACACCTAGTAATGCTAAAAACATTAAAATAACAAATATTATAAGGCCAGGTTCTAAAGCAAAAACTGGTTCCAAACCACTGGTTCGATCTACACCAGTATTAACCAAGCAACGTAATTTTTTGAAAACTAGCTCAGATTTTCAAGAGAAGCAGTCAAACTTAAATCTCTCATTTGATGAATTTTCAGAGGATGAAGAGGTATGTTGTACATGTTTTTTTTTTATTTTCTACATAACCATCACTGAACAAATCAATCACGCGTTTCTATTAACTATCTGGGGCTTATGTGCATTGGCGGGGGTATCAAAATTTGTCGCAAAAAGCAAAACTTTCTCACAAAATGAAAAAAACATTGCATACAATTTATTCATCATCAATATTTATCTTTCAAAATTCCTACAAACAATTTGAAATTCATTTTTACTTCACGAAGTAGATGTTTGTTTTCGCCAGAAAATCCGACTTACTAATATTATGTTTTGGAATAATGGCATCAAAATTTCAAAATTATATTATGAAAATTATGAAAGTTGTTAAATCTGAATTCTTATTCATTAAGTAGTTTATTTACATCTATCGGAAACTTGCACTACAATTAAGGTGACCATACGTCCCGGATTGGCCCGGACAGTCCCGATTTTCCGCCTTGCGTCCCGGATTTTTCTAAAAGCAATATTTGTCCCGGTGTTAGGTGTTTTGTTCCGATTGTCCCGAATTTTTAAAAATGTTTTTATTGCCAATATATTTTTAAACATATTTCAACTAGAAAATTTGAAATGAAAAAATGTGCCTCCGATCGCACACACATTCTAATCCGTCCTGGATTTCATGCAAAAAATATGGTCACTTTAATTATAATGAGCCAATTTACCAGTTAAGTAATTTTTAGGTTAGATAATCAGTTTTATTTTTGAAAAAATTCTCTCAACATTTGCAGTTGTAACGATTAATTGTGCAAATAGTAAGAAGTTTGAGCAAATTTGCGATCGAATTTCGTACGTTACGTATGTTTGAGAGTATTTGCGCAAACACATATTTGCACAAATAATCGTATAGTATGGAGCGCCCATGAGGCATACTGTTATTACCTTTATATTTAGGAATATAAAAAATTTTGAATTTCAGATTTTAAGCTTATTTAAAGAGCGTTCGTTCAATTGGTTATAAAAACTAATGAGATTATCTTACCTTACTGTATTTTGGCAACACAGTTTTCTCTATCACTTTTGTTGTTTATCGAGTGGTGTTGTCGAGCCGAAACGCGCCGGAACGTCGTTCCGGCAAATCATTTTTGAACCGGAACGCGTTCCGGCAAAAATTTTTTAAAAAAAATTGCTACATACAGAAAGTGATTTAATAAGTGAATTTTATAAACCATAATTTAACTAATTTTTATTAAACGTTTCTATTATTGTAATAAACATACATATATATGCACAAAATGGATTTTGTAATGATTTTTCTTTTTCCTTTTCGAACGGAACCGGAACAAACATGGAAACCGGTTTTCCAATTTTAGCGTTCCGGCAAAAAAAATATTAGCACAACACCACTGGTTATAATGTACAACTTTCGAACATATTAATCAATTCAAGCTCCGAAATCTTTGAGAAAATTAATACATTTAATCAGCATAAGGACACGTTTACTGAAATTCTCTCATATTTCGATAACTCGTCAAAAAACTTGTTTGTAAAAACGGTCGTTTTCCTCCATTCTTTTGCTAAATCTTTGCACTCATTTAGCATCTATTGAATTATTTTTTTCTTAATTTGTCCAATCTATTTAAGAAACCACTCAATAAAATAATAGTTTTCTACTAGTCATTATTTGCATTTTGTAAAGCTTTAATGATTTCAGATAGTAGAGAAAAAAATATGACAAACATTAAAAAATCATAATACTCTAAAATTATATTTTTCTATACTCATCTTTTTGTCGTAATTAAATTTAGTTGGTACAAATAGTTTTCATGATCATTTGACTTTTGTTGTTTGTAAATTAGAAAAGAAACTATATAATTGTTTTTTTTTATATCTTCACGTGCATTATTTTCTTCGAAATTGAACTTAGTTGGTACAAAGTTTTCATTAATAATTAGACTTTTGTATTCCGTGAAAAATAATAATTTTTTTAACGTTTGCTCACGCACATTGGGGTCTTCGTATCCCGGGGGCGATGATACGGCGGCAGTTACTAGGCCCCTGTGTCTGGAACATATTTATATACTTATGTTTAATACAAAACTTATTAATATCTTCATTGTAACTAATCATTATGATTAATCGTGCGTATATTTTTAGGATAATACGGACTATGTTGCACTTCTTGGAGCCCCACCCGCAAATTTGGATGATTTTATAAACAAGACTTAAAAATTTAGTATTAAATTTTAATTATTTTAATTATACTTTTAATATACAAAATATTTACACATTTGTGAAGGAATGTATATATAAAATATTTATATAATAAATCTCTATGTATATGTGGATATGCATATAAAGGATTGTGTGAATTAGTGTATAAAAGACATCCATTATGAAGTATTTGTATTTTTTGTTGTCAATAATATACATATTTTTATCAATAAATTAATTTAAATTTTAAACATTCATGCTGTTTTAAGTATATTGAATTGCAATTGATTATATACAAATATATTAGAAGAATGGTATATCCACAATGTTTTGTAGCATCCTAAATCTGATACCATGTGATTTTCAGAATTCACAATCAATATTAATATTGATGTATAAGGAAATAAATTATAACGCATTTGTATAAATATTACTCATGTTTTATATTTTTAACTCTCGTTTTGTATTTTTAACTCATGTTGTCAACAGAAAATCTGATTTGATAGTTTCATTTTCCTAATTTGGAGCAATGCGTATGTGTGCCAATTTTTAAACTTTCGCTTACAAAAGGTTTTTGTTACCTGAAATGAATACTTGTTTATCTATGCTCGATATAGTCTGCACTTAAATAAAATGCATTTTTAGAACAGAAGTAGAATGGAATTTTTTAAATGATTTAAATTGTAATTGAGTTAAATTAATATGATTACATATATATCTGTTCTCGGCCCAATTTTGTTCTTAATTTTTACAGCTGACATTCCCACCTCACTTGACACAGACATAGCCTCATTTGCTGACGATATTTGCATTCTTTCAAAACATGAAAATCCCACAACTGCTTCAGAGCAACTTCAAAGTCACTTAACATCAATAGAAAAATGGTACAAACTGTGGAGGCTAGAGATCAACAGCCAGAAATCATCCCACATCACTTTTACACTCAAACACGAGACATGTCCACCTGTAACTGTGAATGAAATAGAAGTCCCTCAGGTGGAACACGTAAAGTATCTGGGCATGCATCTAGACCGCAAACTGAATTGGAAAATTCACATAAAAAAGAAAAGACAACAGCTTGAGGAAAAGTTACGAGAACTATACTGGTTAATGGGTAGGAGATCCCATCTTTCTGTACACAACAAATTACTAGTATACAAAGTTGTACTTAAGCCGATTTGGACATATGGCATAGCACTTTGGGGTACTACATCTAAAAGTAATACTAACATCATTCAAAGGTTTCAGAACAAAGTTCTTAGGATCGTTTTAGGCGCCCCAAAATATACTCCCACCTGGCTGATCCATGATGACACACATATGCGCAGTGTAGCCGAGGAAGTTAAAAGATTCGCTGTTAACCACAAAGACAGAGTGGAAGAACACCCAAATGAGTTGGCCAACGCACTGCTATCCACAAACACAACACGAAGACTTAAAAGAAAAATATTTAGTGATTTAATTAGATTGTAATTACTCGTGTCACACTATTAATTCCTATAAAGGAAAAATGCAACTGTGTATTTTTCACTATTTATATATCGATGTCATTTTTACATATAATTGCCAAAAGATTTACTTAATGTCTATGTAGGACAGTTGTAAATATATTGTTGAATAAAAAAAAAAAAAAAAAAAACATATATATCTGTTTAAAAGGTTTCTATTGAAATTCGAATTAATTTAGAGCAAGGCTTCTTAAACGTTTGTTCTTCGCGACCCCATTTATTAGTTTCTTGACGATCCATAAAAAAAAGATATATATTTTCAGATAATTTATTTATTTGGTAATAATGCATGTATATATGAAAATATATAGGTAATTTTAGAATTGGTTGTAAAACATACAAAAATCTAGACCTGATGTTGTAAAATGATATAAACATTTGGCATTAAAATTTTTCGCGATCCCATTTTGAGTACATATTATATTCTCAATTGTTTTATGGACGTTGATCGAAGTTTGAACCGATTGAACGGCGGCTTAGGGGGGGTCCATAGGAATACATTAAATTCTAATATTGTCTAGGCCAATAACTTACTACAGAAGCCGCCGGTGACGCTAGTTGATTCATATTATGTTGTGTTGTTGTTAACCTTAAAATCGTCAATCATAGTGTCTAATTTTCCTTTTCTATCCATTATTCAAATAATAGTATAGTCTGATTATTTCATTCAGGCAATGCGATTTATTCTTATGCTATCAAGCTATCTTATTTCAGTTTCAAGTAAAAAATATGGAAACTCCTGTTTTAAGTAAGAAGCAGCAAAGGAAAGCTTTGACTGATAAGAAAAATCAACCTAAAAGTATACGAAACTTTCTTGCGCCAGCATTTGAGCCGAATTGGTAAGATTTTTCTACAGAAGTGTACCTTTTAATCATATGAACATAAAACTATTTTATTCGATTTTGAAATAAATTCAATAACTATTTATTGATCAGGTCTCGTATAAATAACAAAGATGAGGAACTGTTGCTGGAAGCACTAGGATTGTGAGTAATATTTTATATATGATTTTAATGACAGTCAATCAAAAGCTTTATACAGAACTGAATTAATTGCATTATGATGTTTTGTTTGCCTATATTTATTAAACAATAATGAAATCATTTGTAACAGACAATTGGTGAGCTTGCTAAAGTACATATTATTAATTTATATACAGTAGAACCTCGATTATCCGGACCTCAGTTATAAGGAATTGAGATTATCCAGACTATTAACCGCAACAGAGTTATATGTATGTACATACCTACAATTTGAATTTTTGCACGATTTATGCTGCAGTTTAGTATATGTATGTAATGTAATCTAAGAAAATATATATGTACATACATAAGGAATTGTTAATTTATTATTAAACATTGATTTTCGTTGATATCTATGTATGTATTTAATATTTTTGATGAATACACATCATAATTCTTCATGCATTTGATTATCCGGATGCCTATCGACAACAATTAGTCCGCTTAATTGAGGTTCTACTGTATATATATATATATATATATATATATATATATATATATTTAAATTTACATTTGACATATTTCATATTTACAAATTACTGTGAAATCGATCTGTGTCAAAAATCAAATTTTATAAGGACAATTTGCAAAGGAAATATTCACGCTATTGTATTCTAAACAATGAAACTATTCCTAAATACCTCATCATGAAACATGTCAAAATGTTACCAAGGAAAAGAGAACGTAATATCGTGGAAGAATAAAAAACCATTACCAGTTTGCCAAATGGGGTATAGCACATTACATATATATATATATAATTTAACATTGACATATGTATGAACAGTCTAATAATCAGACTTTATTGAAAGAAAAAGCGTGGATTTCTTTAAGAAATTAATCTTAACTAAAATTAAATGTAAAAACTATATGTAGAGTTTGAAAAAATACAAGTGAAAAAGTAAAAAGTACTTACAATTTGTTTATCCTATTTTATTTTTATTTTTATTTACATATATACATTATTTTCATATCTCAGTCAGACAGAGGTGCCTGGTATGAGAGATTATGAAAAACAGTTTTCATATAATATTTACATTTCATTTGACTATAATATCTATTTCATTAATATAATATCTATATATAACTCTTCAGTCTTCTTTTTCTTCAATTTCCATATAGTACTTCTTTATTTTTCTTTTAAAATTATCATTATCATTGGTCATCTTAATATAGTCTGGCAATTCGTTATATATTTTGGTAGCACTCCATATGACATTTTCTCTCAAATTCTTTTTTCTATTGCGTTCAATGTGAAAATTGTTGTGTTGTCTCGTGTAGTGTTCATGTATATCTTGATTTGTGTCTATTGTTGCACTTGTTTTAATTCGGTTAAATTTCATTTTGTGTATTAGTTTGCATTTCTCTATTTTAATTATGTTATTTAGTGAATGATTATTTGTTTCTCTCTGCAAGTATTTGGTGGGTGTTAGATGTGGTAAATTATATGCTATTTTTATGGCTTTATTCATTATTCTCTGTATGTCATTTAGGTTTGCTTTAGTTGTTTGGCTCCATGTTGTTATGCCATATAAAATTATAGGTATTATTTGCGTTTTAAGAATTAGTATTTTATTTTTTTTGCCGAAAGAGTGGATCCTAATATTAAAAACCTCATAACATTAGTCCATGTTGTGAGGAGATGGTGATATGCTTTTAATATAAATATTAAAATTGCTGTATTTATAATAATGTTACACGAGTTTACTTGTGTGAGCTAGAGATATAATAAAACTACGTTTTTTTTTTAATATAATTTTACCAAGATTCTGACTGGATGTTTTGGCATATTTTTTACTGCTTTGTAACAAATTTGGAAATCAAATCCAGAAATAGATGTTTGTATTTTTGTTTTGTTACTCTTTACTTTGTTTATTACTGTCTTGTTATAAATGTTTATGAAAGATCCTTTATGAATTCTTGTTTGAATAAATTTTCTTTGAAATAATGTAAGTATAATCAGTCTAAAATAGTCTATATGTATTAATATGTTGTTTAAGCATAGTTTCAAATTGTTTGAATTGTTTTTATGTTATTGAAGTCATTTTAATAAATTTTGATTTGTTCCAAGAATATAAATTGAATCGCTGTCTAAAGATTAGTTTAGATTTCTTGTTAAAGATTTCTAAGAATGAAAGCAGCTTTTGTTTATGTAACAATAGTGTTATTCGTGCTGAAGTTGTTGACTAATCGTAGTCCTGATTTATAAAATACTATTTTCCATGAAAAATTAAGTTTTTTATAGGTACATTATGAAATTAATTAGGTTCAAATGTAAGAGTTGTATGTACTTTTTACTTTTTTACTCTGCTCTGTTCTATTTTAGTTTTTAAATTTAATTTTGGTTTCTTATCATTTATTATATATATATATATATATATATATATATATATATATATATATAAACTGATTACAATATTTACAAACCGAGTATGATTTTACTTATATAGGTTTTTTTCAAAAATAAATGAATCAAAATGTATATTTCCAAGGCTGAAAAAAAGCAAAGCAAAAGAAAATGGGAAAGTTAATCAAGAGTCAGAAAAAGCAGTTGTTCACGACAAACAGTAAGCTCAGAATTTCAGCAATCTTTCATTTAGTTTTGATAAAAATATTAATTTTGCAGGAAGAAAATTAAATTTGGGTTGAATGAAGTAATTCGTTGCATTCAGAAATCTGAACCGACATGTATTCTTGTGTCAGGAAGTGCAGGCGTTTCAAACATCACCAATCATATCTGCCTATTAGCGTCTTTAAAAAACATACCTTTTCTTGTTGTAAATAATTTTGAAAACAGTATATGCAGTTACATTGGTTTTAAAGCCTTAGTAACTGCTTTCACATATAACGTTGATGATGAATGTTTCAAACACTTGTGGGATACTGTTGCAGATATTTTTAAACGGTATTGTACTCCAAATACCAAATGGGAAAAGCAATTTGATAAGCCAGATGATCAGAAAATTGCAAGCAATCAAGTACAAGGTCAAGAAAACTGTATGGAAGCAATTCATTTAACAAGGGTATCTAATACAACCAGAGTCTTTGTACCAGTACAACATGGTGATGCCAATATGATATCAAAATCAAATTTAGAAGACTTTATTATTATTAATAGTGACAATAAATCAAAAATAATAAATGTCAAACATAAAAGTGATTTATCTGCAAGTAGTGTTAAAAGTGTTGAAAAGATAAGATACGTACCATTAAAAATAAAAAGGATTACAGGAAAGAAAAAACATTGATGCATGATATAACATCAGTAATTTATGTGAAAATCTAAATAATAAATGCTATTTTATTTTTAATACTAGTTTACTTTTTAGTGAGTTTCATAATCATTTTCTATTTAGTATCATATGCAATATAGTCATTGTCTATTATTTATTATATTGTCTAGGGCCATTGTGTACAAATATTATAAACAGTTTACACAATAAAAGCTTTGCATTCTATGAATTTGATTCTGCTGTGTAGATTATCAGAAAAACATTCCATAAAATATTAATCGTCCAAAAATCGAAAATGTTTAGACGTTTCTGAGCATTTTGCATACCTTAGAAAAAAATGGATATATGCATGTGTGTGTAGTTTATGTGTATGTATGAATACGAATATGAATTTTCGGGAGTACCGCTCAACCGATTTGGATGATACTAAAACATTTGATTCCTACTTGTGAGGAGACGTGCTGATTAGTTTTTGGCAAAGACATGTTTAGCCGTTTTAGAGATACGGAGCAAATAATGCAGAAAATGGAAATTGAATTTTTGAGAGAACAGACTATCCGATTTGGATGGGAAGACGTGGTGATTTGGTAAAGGCAGGCCCAGCCGTTTTAGAGATACAGGGCTAAAAGTGTAAAAAATGACAGTTCTTGAAGAAACAAACCATCTGCTTCGAATGATTAAAAAAACATTTTGTTTTGAAGAAATGATTTTGGGAAAAGCAAACAAATTTTTATTTTTTTATACTCATTTTTTTTTAAATATTGAAAATGATTCGGATTTTAATTTTAATTCTAGCTAAAATTCTGAAGCTGACTTATATACTTGATATAAATAATTTCAACTTGGCAATTCAGTTTATATAATTCTTCATGGCTTTATTACGTTTTGTGGTTTACTGGGATGATATGAGCTCCTTCATTCTAACTCCGCTTCATTAAGTTTTGTTTGCTTACTTTTCTACTAAACACATATGAAAGCGTTCAGTCCAAATTATAAGCTCTTACATTTTGTCTATAAATACGATTGATGAAGTTACAGTATTTATAATAATATTTATTTATAATAATATTTAAAACCATTTAATATTTTATTGCGGTACGAGAAGCTCCAGCGATTTACCTCAAGCCACGATGCCGTGCACCACTAGTTAGACCTTTCATTATTTTATTTATTTATTTACATATATACATTATTTTCATATCTCAGTCAGACAGAGGTGCCTGGTATGAGAGATTATGAAAAACAGTTTTCATATAATATTTACATTTCATTTGACTATAATATCTATTTCATTAATATAATATCTATATATAACTCTTCAGTCTTCTTTTTCTTCAATTTCCATATAGTACTTCTTTATTTTTCTTTTAAAATTATCATTATCATTGGTCATCTTAATATAGTCTGGCAATTCGTTATATATTTTGGTAGCACTCCATATGACATTTTCTCTCAAATTCTTTTTTCTATTGCGTTCAATGTGAAAATTGTTGTGTTGTCTCGTGTAGTGTTCATGTATATCTTGATTTGTGTCTATTGTTGCACTTGTTTTAATTCGGTTAAATTTCATTTTGTGTATTAGTTTGCATTTCTCTATTTTAATTATGTTATTTAGTGAATGATTATTTGTTTCTCTCTGCAAGTATTTGGTGGGTGTTAGATGTGGTAAATTATATGCTATTTTTATGGCTTTATTCATTATTCTCTGTATGTCATTTAGGTTTGCTTTAGTTGTTTGGCTCCATGTTGTTATGCCATATAAAATTATAGGTATTATTTGCGTTTTAAGAATTAGTATTTTATTTTTTTTGCCGAAAGAGTGGATCCTTTTCAATGCCCCTGTTAATGTTCCTATCTTTCTTTTTATTTTGTTTATATGGTCTGTCCATGTCAGTTTTTCATTTATTATCAGTCCTAAGTATTTTATGCTTTCCACTTCCTCTATTGCTCTATTATTTACTTCAATTTTTAGTTTAGTGTTCTCAGTATTTTTTCTATGTTTGAAATATATGTATTTTGTTTTATCTATGTTAATTGTTAGTTTATTTTCAGTTAGCCACTCGGTGTATATTTTCATGTCCGTGTTTATAATATCTTCGAGTCTTTTTTTATCCTTATCCGCATATACTATCGCTGTATCGTCTGCATATAATATGTATCTTCCCTTTAATTTTGCGTCTTTAAGGTTATTGGTGTATAATAGATACAATAAAGGTCCTAATACAGAACCTTGTGGAACTCCACAGGTTATGTTACATCCTCCACTTGTGAAATTTCCCACCTTCGTCCTTACCACTCTTTTCATGAGGAAATCTTTGATAATGCTGTAAGACAAACCCTCTACACCCAAATCTATTAGTTTATTGAGTAATATGCCATGATCTACTGTATCAAAAGCTTTTTGTAAATCAATAAACATTGCAACTGTGTGCATATTTTCCTCAAGGTGCTGACTGATGGTATTAGTCAAATCTATTAGGGCACCTTGTGTATTTGATGAAGGGAGGAAACCATATTGATTTTTGTCAATTTTTTGAATGAGAAAATCAAGTAATCTTTTTTTTATTACTTTTTCATATATCTTGGAGAATGTGTTTGTTATTGTTATAGGTCTGTAGTTATTTGGATCTGTTTTGTTTCCTGTTTTGAAAATTGGTTTTATTAGCTATTTATCTTGTACAAAATTGAATATGTACCACTTAAACTTAATATATCACAAAACAAATTTTAATAAGTCACATTCAAAATAGTTGTGTCCGTTCATACACTGCTTGTCCTGCATTTATACCAACATTTGAAAATTAAAATCTATCGCATTTGTTATCAAACTGTCAAAAAATTTCGCGGGTTTTGTATAGAATTGTTATTGCTTATTGTGTATTTTATATAATTAGATGTTTTATTATTTTTATTTATAAAGACTGATATTAATTGATTAATTAATAATCTATCTAAATAAAGAGATAGCGTATCGAAAGTTTGTTAACAGTAATGGTTCAGTTAATTGTCAAGTGTTTTAATTTAACAGATTACTTAATGTTATATTAGGAGAAATCTGTATATTTAAGATGCAGTCTAGATCATCGAAAGGAAATTTAAGCAAGCCTAATTACGGATTGCGTAAAAGGAAATATAAAGGAACGGCTAAGGATGAAGAAACTCTTGAATGTTCAGATAAAGCAACTCAAGTGGTTAGTGATCTTGAGAATATAGAAAATAATTTTCAGATAGCCGATGGAAATAATCCTATAATTCAGTTCAAATATGATTTAAAGAAAGTTTTAACTGACTCCAATCACAATTTAGAAAAATGGTTGGATTTGGACTCATTACCATATTGTCTAATGAATTTAAACAAATGCATGCAAAACCATGCATATAAAAATGTAAGTGCAAGATATTCTACACTGTATATTATATTCTACACTGTATGTTATATGTTATTTATGTTATAACATAGTGTAAAGTATGTTGGTTCTATGGCCAAACGTTTGAACAATTTGAATTATGTTTATACCTGATCATTCTTTGGTTGTGTCGAAGTAATTTTTCTAACTAGTTGCCAGTTGCTCTCAGTTCTTCTGTTTTTTTATAACATAACTAATAACTTTGAATCACAAAAATTATTCTTTGTCTTATAGAAATCTACAAAATATATATTTTTATTTTTGATAGAATAGGCCTGTAGACTAGTACAACATATTTATTTTTTATGCATTTTGATTTATTAATCCATTGCAAAATTTTACTAAATATATCATGAATAAGGTGTAATACTTCTAATGTATGTTTATATTTTTTGTTTTTTATCTTTTAATTTAAATTAATTTGTTGCAGAATTTTTCTAAATATGTTATTAGTCAAGAATTAAGTGTAATGCTTTTATTGTATATTAAAAACAAAGAGTATCTGGAGGCTTGCAAATACCTGCAATTTTGCATTACAGTAGTATGTAAAATTCCTAATGAATCTACATTAATTGAATTTCTGAAAATAATCATGGTAAGATATAATGTTATCAAATAATTGCATATTGATGCCTAAAAATCTTAATTAATCATAGTAATATGGGAATTTGTTCATAGTGAAAAGTGGAATCATCTTTTTCTCACTGACATATAGATTTTCTACTAAATTTATTTCAAGTAATCAAGACTATATTAAAATAGTTCTTTATTTTAATATATTTCATTTTTGTAGTATATAATTTTATAGTATTTAGAAGTATATAAGTAAAAGATATTTTTTAAAGTATATTTAAAGAGGAAAATTATTTAAATTATTACAAAAGTTAATGAAATGTATCTATACTAATTTAGTCTATAGAGCAAAATCCGTCTAATAACAATCAATTATTAATATTGGATTTGCATTCAGTTTATATTCACAGTGTAATGCGCTTTCAACTATTATAACTTGCTAAAACATCTCATTTGTAATATTCTTTTAATATAGTGTTAAAGCATATAAAAGTTAATAAACATGAATATCAAAATTATCATGAGTTCAATTCTAAATTATTATTCTTTGTATTGCATATAAGGTTTTAATTATTATTTCCAGGATATCCATAACTCTGAAGATGATAGAGACTTACATATTTTTATATTAAAAATGATTGAAGATTGCTTTATAACTTTATTTGCTTTATATCCTTCACATATAAAATATATGAGACAATATTATAAAAGACTACTTACCATGCCGCTTCAAAATTGTAAACACAAAGGTAAGGTTTTTGTGAGTATTTTGAAGTTTTATTTGAATAAATTAATAGTAAAAAACTCTAGGTTTATTTACTCTAATTTCAATTTTTGTATGATAAGTTCTTTTAATAATAATTCAGATCATGAAAACTATGAAAGTTTCAATGGAATTTTTTTTACTGCATAAATCGTCTGGAAAGTGAATTACTTGCCATTAATATTTCTCAAAGATCAGAAGTGAATAATGTAAAAACACTTAACAATAATGAAAGTGATAGTATTGCTCTAAGTTTTGCTTTTAATGAAAGTGAGCTTTTCGACCATTATGATGATTTATCAAGGGAAGAAAAACTGTCCAGACTTTATTTACTATTACAAATAATAGTTAAATATTCGAAGATGATTTAGCATTCAGGATACTTGTGTAAGTATAATAATATATCAAATAACTTATAAATAATATTACATGATAATAAATTGTTGAAAGGTATAATAAAGAGAAGAACATTGCACATAAATTAATTATTTCAAATGTTATATGGGGTAAAGAAAGTATATTGAATTATGGATTCATGAAACCGTGTATCAGAAAAATAATTAAGATACTCATCTTGTCTGTTCGTAATTGTAGAAAGAAATCAGAGTGCGCCACAGTTTCGGTGAGTATACATCATACTTGTGAACAATGCATGTAGTGTATAATTGTTTTAAAATATTTGATTTCATAATATGTTAACAATTGGTTAATAAATTGAATTGAATAAATAAATATGTAGAGGTAACATCAGATCTGTTTTGTGCTTCTAATAATATTTTTGCTTTATTTTCTTGTATGAATAATAGCTACTGTTGTATGTAAATGTTCATAACTGTTGATAGCTGTTGTTGCAATATTTTTTTAAGATATTTGTATAGATACAGTTTACAATTTTACGTATTATTCAAGGGTATATTTCTATTCAAGGGTAATCTGTTGATTAGTTTTTGACTAACATCCACCCGCTTAAGAGATACAGAGCTAAAAATTACAGTTTGTGAGAAAACGTTTAAATAAACATTTTACTTGTGTTGACGGAATGAAGAATGATTTATATTTTTGCAAAGGCAGGTCCGGCAGTTTTGGAGTTGCAGGAAAAACGTAAAAAAAAAATCTGAAATGATAATTTAGATCATTTTATGATTTATATATACATAAAATATTGATACTCAGATGACAGGTATACAAGGGGACTGATAGACAGATAAACAAGTAGGGAAATTATAAGGTAGAAAGGCAGGCAGAGAGAAAGCTACACAGGTAGAAAGTAGAAGAGTAGGCAAGTCAACTAGAAGGCAGGTAGATAGGTTAACAAGTACAAAAGTAGATAAGTTGAAACTTAGACTGGTAGACTAGACCCTTGGACAGATAAACAGATTTAATATTTATTGATTAAATCGATTATTTACACATTCTGGTAAGATCATGCAACTTGCCTTAAGGCAAAATGCCACTTACATGTAGTTTACCTTTGAATCAAGGTTTCGATGTTGTTCATCTGTTGCCTTTCACAAAGTAAGTGTTTGGCTTATTAATGACTTGAAACTACAATTTTACTAGGCTTTTGTCTTATGTAAGTTCCTCCTCACACTTTCAATAATATATACTTTATCTTTGGTTGTTAATTTATATTTTTGTTGGCAATTGTTTGCTTATATTTAAGTTGTTATAAAGAAATTTGTATTATGTTAGATATATTATATTTACATATGCCTACACTTGGAGGTCTTCACTGCAATGCAATTAATTAACTAATTACAGTTTAGTAGGAACTTAATTATCCGGCCTCAGTTATACGGATTCGTGATATCTAGACTACCAACAGCGACCAATTTATGTATGCAAATTAAACTTATTACCTACTTATTTGATGATTACCAAATATATTTAAACACATTATTCGTGCATATGTACCTTCAATTTTTATTTCAATTAATGCTAAAATATGTATGTACATACATAAGTAAGTGTTAATTTTTAATAAAGAGATTGTTTTTTATTGATTTCTAATTATAATTTCTTATGTTTCATAACATATACAATATTCTTCATACATTCGAATGCCTATCAACAACAATTAGTTTAGGTAATCAGGTTTCTACTGTATGTGCTTGTATAAACTTATGCAGAATATATAATAATTACTATGCTATATAATTACATAAGCTTCTATTTTTCCAGAGGCTGCTGGGCATTATAGCACATGTGCTGCATTTAATGTCTAATAATAGAAAAAACCTATTCTTAAGTATTGGAATGCAGTTGAATATCTTAGCTATTGAAATATTCACCTCCATACAAGGTAAGTTCTGTAATATTTTTTAATTCATCTATATATTATTCAATGACAGTAATATATAATTTAATATATCAACCAACAATTTTAGTCCAAACAAAAACACACCTCACACATCTCTCTTTATATTGAATTATATTATATTATATTATATTTGATGTTGAGATATATGAGTAAGTTCTTATAGGGAGATACATCAAAGAAAAAAACAAAGATTTATAATTACAGTAGAATCTCTAACCGAGAACTGGTGTCGATAGGCATTCGGATATCGAAAATCCGAATAATCGAAGATATGAAAATAATTATTAAAATTAACAAATACATACATAGATATATAAGAAAATCAAATGTTATTAAGAAGTTAACACTTCCTTATTTATGTACACACATAGTTTCTTAGATTACATTATACAAATACTAAACTGCAGCATTATTCATGCAAAAATTTGGATTGTAGGTATGTACATACATATAGTTAGTCGCGTTTGACAGTCCGGAATCGCAAATCCGTACAACCGAGGGCCGGGGTAAACGGGGTTCTACAGTAATCTTTAATTTGAATGTCAAAACGTTTGGAATTAAAGATTAAATAATAGATCTTTGATTTTTCTTTGATGTATCGCCCTATAAGAACTTACTCATATATTACTTACTCATATACATATAAGGCTTGATTTGAATGAATCACTTGATTCGACATGGCACATCATTAATATGTGTATTTGAATAGTCTTGAATTTGATGTTAATATATTTTATTGAGTTTAAAGTTGGGCGTTACATCAATAAAAATAGTATGAGAGTTTTTAGAAATTATTTAAAATCCATACGTTTTGGCGAGCATCCTGGCCTTCAATCAGTGGCAATCAATATAACTCTAAAAATTAAAACTAAATAAATAATATGTAAGAAATTTCATAGTAAAATATAATAAAAAAAAACAATTTTGTATCCTAATATAACAGATAAAAACACTATTGCTTCATGGTATG